CAATTAACCACTAAGAAGAATATATGCAGTGTATTATTTGTTGAAACTGTACTTCTGATTGGATTTGAAACTGTCTCATTGCTATCTGTTTATCAATAAAACTTTGAAAAAAAAATCAGACATTAGAAAGTATGCTTTTTAAAAATTTATAAAATGTGTATTTTAAAACAAAAAGAATGATGTGAATTTTCGGAATGAAGCATGAAGTAGCCTTTCAACGGAGAATGCCAATGAACTGCAGCCTGTATGAGTTAATGGTTTAGGGCAATTCTATAGATTTTATCGGATTCTTATGTGGTTTTTTTCTTCCTGCAGCTCAATAAAGCATGCAGTGCCTCAGTGTAGCTCTTCCAATCACGGCAATTAATACAATAGCGCAAAAAGGATGAAGGGGTTAGGAGCTCTCAGGATAGTTAGCTGCTGTGTGAACAGGGTCCAGGATGCGAGTTCAGGTTGTGTTGGCAGTGTGCTGTTGACTGCACGTGCACACACACACACACACACATGCCCATGGGGGGTGCCCGAATGACCCATAGAAGGGCCTGGGTAATGCACCCCTTAAATGGAAAACATCAACTCATGTTGCAATCTTCTCTGTGTTTCTGGGATGTCTTATCCTAATTTGGCTACTGAATTTAAATTCTTAAATTGTTCGTTCGCCTTTCTTCCCCTTTTTATGAATGTCTAATTACTCTATAAGCCATCGTTTATGAGCATATTTTAGGCATCAGAAGCCTCAGACATCATAGCTGTTAATAGGATATGCCACTCAGTGGTCAAAAGTCTTAACATCTTAATTACTTTGTTTCTAGAACATTCTCATAAGTAGTAGGGACCCCTGGGTAGGCTCTTGGTCCTTGTCAGGTTAGTGTTCAGTTGGCTGTTCTTGTTGTCTCTTCAGAACGCTCTGGCTTCACAGTGAGGCCCGTCGCTGGCTACCTGAGCCCGAGGGACTTTCTGGCAGGACTGGCCTACCGAGTGTTCCACTGCACACAGTACATCCGGCATGGCTCGGACCCCCTCTACACCCCAGAACCGTGAGTATCACATTCGAACCTATGCTGGATGAGGACCCCTGAGCTACTAAGTGTTCAGTGCTCACTCTGCTTGAAAGTGACTCAGACCCTCTTTCGCCTACAGAGTAATTTCCTGTCCATAGCAAGGGAGAGTCACTATGCTCAAAGGATCGGACTCCCCAGTGGGCAGGGGTGGCCTCAGATATTTTCTCTTTGGCTCATCACTCTAATTTTATCCCGACATGGAACCTTCTGCTTCATCAGATCTCCATTCCAGATGCGGAAGGGAAGGCCCAGAGGGGCAAAGCAGAGACTGAGGCACAGCCAGGACCTTTAGGTCTCTCATAGCATGGCCCATGTCCAAAAGGTCATGCATATACCGTGGCAAATCAATCCTCTTGCCTTTTCCTTTCCTGTTTATGGCCTTAAACATAGAACTCTATGCTAACTGCTGTCTTAGTTTCTTTCTCTCTCTCTCTCTTTTTTTTTTACAAAAAGTTTTGGGAGGTTATTAGGAATCAAACTGAGGATCTTGCACTTGCCAGGCAGGTACTTGTGCCACTGAGGTATATTCATGGCCCTAAACATTTTTTAAAAAAGAGAATAATAGTAAAACAAAACCAAAAAAAATATTAGAAATGATACAGCATTTCACTAAAGAAAATAATAGGAATTCAACAATGGCTGTTATGTTACATAGTGTTGTCTTCAAATTATTTGTGCAGATTACCAGATACAAGCATGTAAAATTGGGCAAAGAAGTTATACAGGGTTTAATGCTGGGGAGATAGCTCAGCAGTCTAAGCACCTGCCTGGCAAGCACGAGAACCCAGCTTCAATCCCCGGTACTGCATGCTGTGCTGACCCGAGCTGCACAGCGAGACCCTGTACCAAGTAAATAAATAAAAGTTGTAAAAGGTTTAAAAGGAGAGAGAGAAAAAATTTAAGCATCACCTGCTCCTTTCAACAGACCAGCAGAAGTCACCAGTACAATTATTGAAGCTGTTCTGTATATATGCATAAATATATCTTCCCCCCTTCCCACCCTCTCCTGTCCCTTTCCTCATCCCAGTTGTTCCTTCCCTTTGAGCAGTTTCTTTCCCCTCCACAGTACCTATTGTACCTATTGTAGGAAATGTCCGACTTTGCCTGCTCCTTCAGGTTCTCACGCTAGGGCGACACTACAGTGTTCACACCCGTGACTCTGTGGCTCGTTTCCTGAGGTGGCCTCTCATCGTTCCACTCATCCTGACCTTGAGCCATTGTGCAGCCCAGGCTGGCACTGAGCTTATGCTCTCCCTTCCTGAGTGCTGGCATTGCAGATGCGGGCCACCTTCCCTGGACTTTGCCATCTTCTCGAACATTCCTCTAATCCTCCCCATCCTCTCCAGCTATCTAGGAAGTTTTTCCTTCTTCTATAGCTCCCTCAGCTTTTCTTGAAAGAATCCTCACTGTTGGTTCTTATCCATGCTCTCCTGGACACTGGGGGAGCAAAGAATGGGCAGAGGAATGCGAAGGTAGCGCCTCCTGAGGGGCAAGCGGGGGAAGCTGTGAGCTCCTGCATGTTAATTTTGCAGCTTGTTCACACAGGGGACTATACAGTGTCCCAGTGGTAAACAGCCTGCATTTTACTGCTTTGCATGCTTAAAACACATAACAAGCATTTATATGCTTGGATCGTTTGGTAATGAGACAGCAGAAAATCTCCCTGCCCTCCTGGATTAATGGAGGTCCTAGTCAGTATACACCCAGATAAATGGCCAAGCGTAAGTGCTATATGCAATGCCAGTATGGCCTGGGAAGACATGTAGAGCAGGGGGAGGAGGTGGGGAGACATGTAAACTACCTCTTCAGATTGGGTCTGTCCGGGCATCCTCTTGGGAAGAGACATTTGATCAGAGACTGGAATGTGAATATATCAGAATGCAGGACTCTAAACTAAGAGAGCAGTGACAACAAAGACCCTTAGGCTGGGAGCTGCCATGGGTTTCTCTGTCCCCTTCATCTCCGTTCAAATGAGTGCCACCTCCATTTAATTTGTTGCCCACTGTTCTTCAAACCACATAGGTTATCACTTTGCTTAGGATGCCGCTTTACTTGAATAAGCTTGTGATTAATGAGCTGCCAGGGTCTTCACTAGAAGCAGAGAGCCCTCTGAGGGTCAAGCAGTTAAGTGGCTGATGGCAGCAGAAGCAGGAAGGGATTAGAATGGAGTCTCAGAAGCCCCTCTGCACCTCAAGGTTGGCAGGAGTCACTGGCCAGGTGGGTCCCTGCAGAGTCACTATGTTGTTTTTCATCTCTGTTCAGCTTCCCTGAAAGTGTTTGCAGGGTAAACAAAGGTTGCTTATAGGCCTCAAGACATTTGGGAAAGAAGCCACCTAGAGTGGAGCGTGGAGTGAGCCCTCCAAGGAGCATTGTCAGGTTAGAAAGGCAATCTCTAAGTCCAGCCCAAAGGGTTTACAAATGGCCCTGTTGACAAATAGCAGGCACTTACTTAGTTCCCTTTGAATAACCGGCCCTCCTGAGACTTGTGTTAGTATGCCAATAGGTATGGAGAGAGAGAGAGAGAGAGAGAGAGAGAGAGAGAGAGAGAGAGAGAGAGAGAGAGAGAGAGTGCAAAGAAATGAGATTTTAGCCACATAGGTCTATAAAATTTTGGGATAATGTGTTACATTTTACCAAAGCACTTTCAGCCAATTCATTCAGCATATTTATGTGAGTGTTAGCAAGGAGGTATAGTGTGTTTAAAGATGAATAAAATATAGTAGACTTTTTAATTTTTTATTTTATAAAGCAGCAGGGGAGATGGAAACATAAATAATGAGGAAAGAGGGAAAGAGTGCGGCTAAGGCTATCATCAGCTGTGTACCAAGTGTGAAGGAGCATAGAAGAGAGAATAGGCCTGAGGAGCTTTGCAGTGGGTATCATCTCAGTGCAGGCCTGGGAGGATGAACAGAAACTTCATTTTTGTACACGGCCTCATGGGAGGGGAGGGAAGGCTTTCTCAGTGAAGTAGGTAGGAACTACAGAGTTGTGGAGGCATGCGGAAGGCATCAGTAGCGAGGCTCGATAGACCACAGTGGCTAGGGTGCAGTTGATGTGATAAGGATGAAAAGTGTCTTCAGGGCGCATTACAAATGGTCATTTATCAGCCTAGAGTTTGGAGATCTCGTTTTTTTGTTGGCAAGAGGCAGCTCTCCAAGGTCCTGAACGTGTGCTCTGGAAGGGAAATTGAGAAAGATGGCTTGGGGTCAGGGCTGCAGAAGTGTGAACGATTGAGATGGACATCTAGTCAGGGAGCTCACATTCCAGGAAGGCATTACAGTTTATAAGGCATCATGCTAGGAAATGTTACTGGGATAATACACGAGTGCTTCTATTCGATGGTCCCAACCCAATGGAGATGAATTGGCAATATTTGGTGACTATAATAGGGATCAGGAGAGGGAGGATCCCTAAGGTAGCACTAAGGTTTTACTGGAAAGATGAATGGGTAGTTATTTCTAATAATGATTGAGAATACTGGAAAAGTAGCAGGCTTGGGGGAAGAGGGTAAGAAGGAAGGAGGGAAAAGGAGGATTTGGGTTTGGAGCATGTTGTCTGGGTAGCATTCCTGGATGGCACCTGAACAGAGAAAGCACTTGGTCATTGAAAACACAGGTTGGGAATTCAGATAAGAACTCCAAGATCTAATAATAAATGAGCTTTTAAAATTTTTTAAAGAATTCCACGAGTCCATAAATCTATGTGACAAGAGTAAACTAAATCAGAGGATAGAAACATTAGTTTTTGTGAGTTCAATAAAGTTGCTATTTTTTTGGTGAGTTTTATAACATTCATTTGTTTTTTAAAAAATTGTTTTATTAAAAAGTACTACATGCACATGATCCAAAATTCAAAGGGCACTGCAGGACACACTGGGCTGAACAGCGGGCTCTTTTTCTTCCTTTGTTCTCTTGACACTTGGTTCATCCTCTTCAGAGGCCACTACTGTTCCTAGTTTTTATTGCATGCTTTCAGAAGTGCGCTATGCATACTAAAGTCTTTGTAGCAAACCCTTTGATTGTTGTCGATGATGAAATCCTAGTTCATTCTCAGCCCCGTAGTTTGAATCCGTGGGCACAGCGCTGGAAGTGTTGTTTCCTCCCCAGGCACATTCACAGGCATTGTCTTTGTAATGAAATCCATTTTTTTTCACCTGAAAACCAACAAGAGGGCAGATCCCCCAATTTGTGAAGTTCAACCTGGCTATTGCGTTTGGTTTGTGTACTGTGCTTTCAAGCAACTGCCCCCAATTGTTGAACTGTGATAGTAGAGGCAGCAGTAATGAGACAAAGGTGAGCCATGAAGACTCCAGGAGAAATAGGAACGAGAGTGGGAAAATGACATTATCTGGAAAAAAAAAAGCATTTTATTTTCCTTTTTGGTCTGGATAGAGTACATGTTGCTATCACAGTTGTCAACTCACTTTGGGTTTTAAGCAGGTCTTTAGTTGTATTTTAAAACACCGGATTCACTTAATATGGGCAAATAGTGGAACTTGACTTTAAAAACTGACAGCAGATTGAATTGGTTCCCTGGAGAAAGTTTTCTAGCCTGGAGGACAGTAGAGAAAATCCTAGCAAATCACGGTCCTGGAAAATTGGTGATTCCTGGTCTTCCTGGTGGGAGGAGCTTCCTGTGTGTGTGCCTGGGTTAAGGGTCAGGGGTCTGCTAGTGGCGCTGTGCTATTGTGCTTTCTCCCTCGGAGCAGTGATTACCTTCAGCACTAACTGGCTTCCCGTGCTTTGATCTGTGATCTCAGGCAAAGCTGTGACTAATCGCCTCCTGACATTTACAAATGATTTCCTTTACAAGATATCAACTGTGTCAAGGTCAAGGTTCCTATGATAAGATCATTCCTCTCATTCATTGGAAAGAAGGATGTGTAGTATCAAGTTTCATGGGCACATGATTTGTTAGCCAGTATTTGGATAGGGACAGAACAAAAAATTGGGAAGTCTGACAAGCTTACTTATCTG